TGCTTCAAGGAGATACCAGATACAGTATATAGTAGCTATATGGCACTACTCCTTTCTAAGATGTCAGAAGGCAATTAACTCCTTGAAGTGGTTCCAGTTGTGTTGTACAATAAAGCTGATTCCTTCCTAGTCCTTCAAGTTTATGAGAAGCTTCAACCAAGTTCCTGTCATCTCACAGAAGCTGAAGCATTTTAATAAAATGTGTGTTAGTCTGAAAAGGTGCTACCAGGCTCCCTCTTATTTTTTGCATGACACAAGAAATAAAAAAGATTAGTGAGTTTTCTTTTTTGTTTGTTTCTTGAATAGAGGAGAAAGGTTCTTAGTTGCTGGCAGAAGAGTATATAACTCAAGCAAGACCACTGCCACTGCTTTTTAGTTCAGAAGGTAAGACCAAAACTAGTAGTTATTGTCTTCCCAATTTGCCTAAACCATGGGTTTTCTACACCACCTAGCTGGCTGATCCCAGCTAACAATCAGAATGCATCCTTGTTCATTCATTTCTTTGGAATTTGACAAGTGCATTGCATACTTGGTCAGATTTTAACACAAAATAGTTAATTTCCCACTGAGTTTAAAAAGCCAGGAAGTAGATGCAGTATCTGTATCTGAGAATCAATATATTACTAAGCAATGTATTTGCTCACCTTCAAATATTGCTACAAAATCAAGATAACTCAAGCCTCCAGCTGGGAATCCTATTTTTTCAATTAATAGGTTAAATTGATCATCACTCATTGGCATCTGAATATCCTCCAGTAACTGTCAGAGACAGAAAAGATGACTAGATTAAATACTGTGAAAGGATACAAACCCTTGGAATGTCGTGGTATCAATGCAAACAGTATACACAATTGCTACTCCCTGGAGCTGAATTCAAAATAGACAAACGCCCATCATGCTAAATGAACAAAACTTTGTTTCAAGGAACAGCCAGTGATGCTTGAAAATGCACAAAATCCCCATCATTTAGTAAATTTGCAGTCATATAGTTTGGTGTGGTTTTGAAAATGTAAAATTTATAGAAACTGCTAGTTAAATACAGTAGTAGAATTGAATTCAGTTTATAATAATGTTCTCTCCACTTAATAATTCCAAGTCCCCCTCCCATTTCTAATTTGAGCGTGTTCTTTTGTGTTTGTACATTATTTTTTTTAGTCCTTTTGTAATAGCTTCAGTGGTAATTGTTCTTGCAATGCTATTTTATTTTACTGATGTACCGCTGGAGAAAAAAGAAACATTGAATGGTTGACTGGCGTAAAAACGTGAAAAAAAGTGAGAATGTGCTAATTAAGAAATTATCACTCTTCAGGAGATTTTGAAAGCCTTTTAAAAGAGATTAGCAGCTTTGTATTTTAGTATAACTTTTGCTATCAGATTGAATGTTTAATTTTAGAGCTACACGAGTGGAGAAATGAGAAAGAAACATTCATTTCCTTGTGGTATATTGTTGAGTTAAATCCAATAGATGCAGTTGGATGGAATTCCCATACACAACCTGATTTCATGGCCATTGTTGCAACTGCAAGGACCATTTCTGAAATCAATAGATAAGATACCCATATATTTCATTCACATATCTTCACTTAGGGTGCCGGCATACAAGAATATCCAGTTATATCACTGATGTATTATTTACATCCAGATTGTGTAGAAAGGGGGCATGGCTTTGATTCTGCTGTTGTGGCTGATGTCTTGACCACCTTCAATGCCCCTAACTGGGACTTAATTGGTGTTTTTAGGCAAAGGGTCCACTAAATGCCCTTCAAATATGCCTCTTTGCCCCCAAGGGCTGAATTTCATGGCCTCTTTTGATGAGTTAAATGTGACAAAGTCCAAGCTACAAAATGAAGATGGTAACCGAAAATGTAAACAATGCTATGTGAAAATGATACGAGTGAGAGGATGGAAACTCTGAAATATAAAGCCACCTAAACTGCTTACAGACTTTTCATAAGACCAAGACATAAGCAGTGTCCTAAGCTGAGAAGCTATCAAGAGAAAAGACAAAACAGAAACATTGTTTCGAATGACCGAGAGTAAATTAAAACGAAATTAAAAAGCTATCAAGAAGAAAGATGAAAGACCAACTTGGTTTGAATGAGCAAGAATAAATTAAAACGAAATAAGATTCTATTTACCTTGCGGAAATCAGTTTTACTCAACTTCCCGCTAGCTTGCTTGTTATAAGTAAGGAAGGCATCCCTCATGCCCGTTTCCTGATGCAGAATGCCATCCCTCAGCCTTTCGAGGACTTCATCAACAGTTCTATTCCTGGCTTGTTTGTAGATGTGGTCTTCAATTTGCTTCATTCTAAAATCGGAAGACTGGTTAACAGGGGTATCTGCATGGTCTGGCCAAAAAAGGCAGGATGATGGCTGCAATGGTGTGATTGAAACTCCCATCTGTGCTTTATGTGCATTGGAGTAAAAAGACTTAACTCCTCCCACAGCTAGATAAGCTCATGGGATGATGTTGGGCTAGTTGTGCTCTTAGTCTCTCTCACAAGGCAGTGGTGATGAAACTTGGAGAGGAAATTAAGGGAACTCCTGAAGGAAAAATAGGATATGAGTGAACACATCGACGAAGGCACTAGGAGCCATGATAGACGAAGACGTCATCACATATAGTACTTACCTGCATTTATAGTTAGTTACCAGGCATTCAGAGATATTACTTTTCTATATCTCCTTATAAAAATATCTAAGCCATCATCCTCAATCTTATCAGAGTCAAGAAATATCCTAAACTAATAACAGAATAAGTGCAAAGCTGATTTGTTGGGTCAAGCATTATACAATATTAATATTTACAATAATATTAAGATACTTATAAGATGTTATAATAATATTTTTCTTTCTGAGTCTACAGCTGGTTATTTTTTCTGAGCGATTCCTGAAGTTCTGCTACAGTATGAAACTGAGGTCTTAGTAGTCCATAACCAGAACTACATTGGCCTTAAAGTCTCCAAAGGCTAGATCATTGTTTCTCAATTTTTACGACTTTAAGATGACATCTTAAAGTTGCCAAGGCTGAGAAACACTTGGTTAGAAGAATCCATGGAAGGCAATGTGGATAAATGGTCCATTCACACCTTTAATACATTGATGGGCATTATGGAGGACAAGGTTCCCTACTGGCTGCAAAAGCTCTAAGTTGTCACTTAAAATAAAACTATTCTTTATCAATGCTTCTCTCAGAAGACACCAGAAGACCAATCAGTCTGAACTGCAGCCCAAAAGCTAGAAAGGGGAAAATAAATATGCAAATTAAACAATGACAAAGTCACCTTTAAGTCAAGCAAGACTCCTAGTGCAGCGGTTCTCAACCTATGGGTCGCGACCCCATTTGGGGTCGATCGACCATTTCATGGGGGTCACCAAGCAAGGCTGTCCACCATTTTTTTCCCCTTTTCCGGCGGGTCCCTTACCTCCCTTGAGCTGGGCCAGCTGGTGGTCGGCCTGCTCCGTCTCTGCCGCTTGCCAGCTACGCCTCGGCCGGCGCAGGGGGTGGAACCACGCATGCGCGGCGCTCCCGGGCAGGGAAAGTCCTCGACTTACGACCGGTTGGGTAGTCCTCGACTTACGACCGGTTTAGTCCTCAACTTACGGCCGGTTTAGTCCTCGACTTACAACCGGTTTAGTCCTCGACTTACGACCGGTTGGGGTCGCGGCATTAAAAAGGTTGAGAACCACTGTCCTAGTGAATCTACATGGTTTTCTTAAGCAATTACAAGTGTTCTTGCTTAAGAAATAACTTCTCAGCTTCCCAATCTAGCTTTCTGTGTGGTCTCCCTTACAACAACTAACCAGATCTAACTCTTGATTACTTTTCTGAGATCATTTTAGGTCACTGAGATGCTTTGATTTGCTTAGAGCAGATGAAGGCCACTGTCTTCAAGGAGTGGGGGATTCTGTGGAGCCTCAGGGGATCACGGGGGCTTCGACAAGAGGTACTTTTTCATACAGAACATCAAAGGAACATTCAGGAAAGCCAGACATTCTAAAGCTAAACTTTCCTATGGATAATTATTACATTTCTACTTTAACAGTCACCGATGGGCTACCTCTCTGGAAAATCCATTGGCTTTTTTTCCTCTGCCTGCTGATTCTCTCGTAGTGAAGAGGTGCTGGTGACAGCAGTTAATTCTTTTGGCAAATCCGCCACTCCTAAACTGTGCAAGAGCATCTTGTAGAGAACCCCTTCTGTAGTATCATCCTGGTATTTCTGGTACAGCCTGTACATCACCAATCAAAACAGTTATGATCATTATTTTTCCTTGATAAATAATACATCTCATAAATGTAACCCTCTCTATCACTTTATATCCATGTACCAAAATCTGATATTTCTTTGGAAATGTTCCAAAAGAATTCTTGTATGGTTGTGCTGTTAATGAACTAAAATTGTACTGGTGATAAAGAACAAAGATGTATGATTGACAGGGCAAAACACCTTAAATGATTTCCTTTTCTCTTTCAAGAACTAGCTTTCTGCTTTATCCTTTATTAGGATGCATTTTTTGAGCCAAATAGTCTTCTGAATATGTTAAGTCAGGGATGGCGAACCTTTTAGAGACCGAGTGCCCAAACTGCACCCCAAACCCACTTATGTATCACAAAGTGCCAACATGGCAATTTAATCTGAATACTGAGGTTTTAGTTTAGAAAAAACAACTCATACATTAATATCTTTTGTCTTAAAAGAAAAACACAATAACAAAGCTTTCAATGATACAAACAACTTTTTACTGAAAGGTAAAAGTTTGCATTTGGCATGCTTTTGAACAATTAATGTGATTTTTGCTGTTGTATGCATGCTGATAATTTGTCTAACTTTGGCTTATACTTTGTAAGTTTCAGAGCAACACACGCAGCACTCAGGTCATCTGTTAGTCTGTTTCTGATGTCAGATTTGATATAATTCAAAGCTGAAAACAGCGTGCTTGCTCCGGAGGCTTGTTTTGGCTAGGAAGGGGCTTGAGAAATGTCTTTTTCCTGCGAAAACTTAGCCAAAGATTGAGGCGCGCATGCCCACAGAGAGGGCTCCGAGTGCCACCTCTGGCACGCATGCCAGAGGTTCACCACCACTGTGTTAAGTGATTAATAAGTTGAATGAATATTTTTTTAAAAATCAAGAACAGATTAAAGACACTTTAAGAACGGTTGCTGAATATTCTTTTCACAGCAAATCAGATATCTTTTAACCTGGTTCAAATGTAAGAATACCAATAAATAACCTATGAATGCTGATAATTTTTATTACTGTAGTTCTATGTGCTACAGTAATAACTTGAGATTTTCATTTCCATTAAAGGAGGAACCATGATTTGCCACATTTAAAATATATTAAAGGGAGAACAGGACAGAACTTCTACTAACAGGACTTCCCATTTAGGTTTCAGTTGATGTGAACATACAGCACCTCAGCACAAAGAGAAAATAGATACAAAGATGAATACAATCTGCAGACTTGCATTTAATGAAACATCTTTAATCTCATTGCTGCTTTTCATTCTGCATATCACCTGCCAAATAACCATCTGCAACACACATGCCAGTCACTCAGTCTCAGCAGCAAAAAAATTGCCATATGCCCTGAAGAGGTGCAGCAGGACCCAATTAAGGGCAAAATGCTATCTGCGGTAAATCGCAAAGCACACAAGCCTTAACTGTTTGACCTACATCTTCTGATTACAAAACCTGCAAGAGTCTTTATCATCTATTTTCAGAATGCTTAGAAGACATGTCAACTTGACTTCTGTTAACAATGGATCCAGAATCTCTCAGCAGCTCTGTGTTTGTGAAGGAACAGTGCCATCCACTGTTCCTTGCCATAATCAGGTGAATTTGGATAAAGGTCTTTCACCACTGCTGAAGGGGGCTCTCCCTATTCTTTTACCTTGACCTCTGTCTCTGGCCTCCGTTTCTAGTCACTGTTTCCAAGGGAAGACAAAGCCCAGTAGAGTTTGTTTATAATAATAATAATAATAATAATAATAATAATAATAATAATAATAATAATAATAATAATAATAATAATAATAATAATAATAATAATAATAATAATAATAATTTAAAAATTGGAAGGGACCTTGGAGGTCATCGAGTCCAACCCCCTGCTCAGGCAGGTAACCCTACACCATTTCGGACAAATGGCTGTCCAAAAAGAGTAGTCCAGAGCAATCTATTCATCCCGTTTTACTGTATCTTTATAGCCCTGTCAATTTACTCGTCTTTCTTCATTAACAAATAAATTGGATGAAGCAAAATAGCACTTGAGTATAAGTATTTAAAATTTTCTCCAGATTTTTGGAGCAATATTTCTCAACCTTTACAACTTTAAGATGTGTAAAAACTCTGCTTTAGAGATTCAAGATAGTTTATGTGACAATTCCTCTTCATTTTATCTGCACAATAAAGAAGCTGTCACTTAACAACCACAAGCTACTACTCCATTGCTAAGTGACATGGTCATTAAGCAGAATATGTGCCTGTGGCAGACTTAACAATGTCACTTCTGGTGTGGTTGTTATGCAAATTATCCACAGTCATTAAGTGACTGCATCATGTGACTGCAACTTACAATTTTACTGCTGGACTTCTCATTGACTTAGTCGTCAGAAACTAGCTGTGAAGGTCACAAATGGTGATCACATGACTGCAGGATACTGATTGTTGTAAATGCATGCTGGTTGCAAAGCACCTGAATCTCAATCACCCAACAGCAGGAACACTGCCAGTTTCAAGTATGAAGACCAGTAATAAAGTTACTTTATCAGTAGCACTGCAATTTTGAACAGTTGCTAAACAGGACACTCATTGAAAGAGGACCACCTGTAATATGTTGGCCTGAAATCAAAGTCAGCCATTGCCTTTTCATGGCTGAAGGAGGATTTCAACTATGTCATCTATTTCAACTATGATTAAGGATAGACTTGAGGGTCTCCTTAGTGCTAGTCAAGCAACTTCCCCACTATATCCCAGGATTACACTACACACAACCGTCTCTAATGGATTTCTCAGAGGATGGGAAGAGGATGGGAATTTGCAAAATAAGACACAACCAAAACATTTGCACATCCTACCATTTCAGAAAAGTGAGAGGCAACTTCCCCACTAATCCAAGAGGCGGTCGGCAAGAGGATTCTCCTTCTAACACTATTGACTGATGGCATAATAAAACAGGAATAGGAATAGCAGACATATATACCGCTTCACAATGCTTTACAGTCCTCTCTAGGCAGTTTACATAGTCAGCCTATTGCCCCCAACAATCTGGGTCCTTAGTTTACCAACCTCGGAAGGATGGAAGTCTGAGTCAACCTTAGAGGATCGGACCTCTGGCAGTCAGCAGAATTAGCCTGCAATATTGTATTCTAACCATTGTGCCACCATGGCTCTTGCATAACCTAACCTAACCCCCTTCTTCTCAATAAGGCTGGTTAATAAAACTCTGTACAAATCTTATCATCCTAATGATAAGTGGCTGCACAAGGGGCCTGAAATCATCTATCTTGGAAAGTAGATATTTGTACAACCTCCGATGTCAAAACTGCTGAAAATCATTTTACTTATTTTATTATTAGATTTTTTTTTTAGTCTGCTACAATCTTAAACCCAGGCAGTTTGCAGAAATAAAACAATATATCTGACTTTCTGCTGTTTAAAGTACTGAGTTTATTGGAAATTTAGTAACTTAGCCTGTAGACTACGGGCCATCAGAATACTTTACAGAGGACGTAGTAAACGGAAAGTGAAAGGTGTAACTATGCTGGGATGGGCTAAGGTTCTTTTCCATCATACTGCAATTCATAGTGTTGAAAGTTGCCAAATTGGCAAGATTGATTGATTTAATCAATCCATTTGTGCCTGCTGCAATCAAAAGGAGTTTCAGTATTCACAACAACATACAATAATGCAATAAAACATCCATGGTGTAAACATAAAATCAATCCTTAAAAATACACAAATCAAATATAGAACCATCTGCCATATGTCTGCATCATCTTATTTACTAGAGGCTCTGGGCAATTCAGCCTTGAACAGTTTCCAGGAGGTCTGTGATACAGTGGTCATCGTCCCTTTCAGTCAGGAAGTTACTCCATTATATGGATGAAGACTCACAAAAAACCCCAAATCCACTTAGTTCTATGCTTTTAGCAGCTGTTCCATTATTGACCTTGGCTTCAGACTCTGATATCCTCAGTTTTCTTTGTCTGAACTATACAAATGACGTCCCATCCAGTCCCTCATGCGATAGAGGTTTCTGAACCCCTCAATAATAATAATAATAATAATAATAATAATTTAATTTGTACCCCGCCCTTCTCCTCATAGGACTCAGGGCGGCTAACAGCCTCATAAAAACCACAATAAAATACAATAACATCTGTATTAAAAACCGAATTAAAAGGAAATATTTAAGAAGGCCAATCATTAAAATTATCCTTAAAATTTCCCTTAAAAAACCCCGCTAAAATTCCCTAGGCCAGACCCGCTTGTTGAAAAAGCCATGTCTTTAGGGCACGGCGGAAGGAGGGGAGATCCGGGATCACCCGGATCTCTGGGGGTAGTTCGTTCCAGAGGGTGGGGGCACCGACAGAGAAGGCCCTCCCCCTGAGGGTCGCCAGCCGGCACTGTCTGGCTGACGGCACCCTGAGGAGACCCACTCTGTGGGAGCGTACCGGCCGATGGGAGGTAACCTGCGGCAGAAGGCGGTCTCGGAGATATCCAGGTCCGATGCCATGGAGCGCTTTAAAGATGATAACCAACACCTTGAAGCGCACCCGGAAGGCCACCGGCAACCAGTGCAGCTCGCG